AGTGAAGGCCGAAGCAGAAGCAGACCCCGCTGATAAACTCTTGTCATGTTCTCCATGATGGCATGCTTATCAGGGGTGACACCACTCTGACGCTCCGCCGAGTGCAATAAAAACGCCAACAACGTCACACAGGGGGGTTTGGCGGATTCATTTCACTTAATGAAGTCTGACTTGCAAATATTCGGTGCCAATTCTTACAGAAGGAAAAAGCTTAGAATTTCCTTCATTACAAGGAAGCCACTAAACACATCATGCCTTTCATTATAAGTCATACAAGCTGTTACATTTTCTACCGTTTAAAAAAAAATAATCCAAAATTATTTCCTCCACTAAGAAAGACGACAAATATTTTTTGCCTTAGTGAAGCTAACAAAAAATCAACGTTTTTACTAGGGATGCACAATATAATCTGCCCCCTATCGCTATCGGCCTTAAAACTGAATATCCGACATCGGCCACCGATATTTAACCCGATATTTGATCAGCTTCTGAGTTTCTAAAGTTTAAAAAAATAAAAAATAAATACTACTTCTAATTCTTCCTCAAAAACTTCTTTTTTACAGACTTAAAAACTTCTAAAGATGAGGGAAAAAATATTGATACATTAAAATATCACAATATCTTCATATGCTGATATATTGCCATTTAAAAACCCCATATCCATTTTTTTTACTAATGAAATATTGCTACATATATTGACGCGGTATTGATCTATTTTACACAAGAATTTGCAAAATATCACGAGAGTTTGTAACAGAACGATGAAATTTGACGAGATTTTGAAAGTAAAATAGATCGATACCGCGTTTTTAAAAATCAATTTGATATCAGCACATGAAAATATATTTGAGTTTATTATTTTTCAAAGTGTCAGAAATGGATAATAAAACTGCTATTTTCAATGACTACTTATTTTTGTCCAGCTTTAACATCGATATCGGTTATCGGCCACATGAGTTTTTAAATATCGGCATATCGGATATCGGCCAAAATCCCAATATCGTGCATCCCTAGTTTTTACGATTTAAAATTCGTTCCATTCAATTAACTGATAAAGTTTGCTTATAGGGAATACTTTCATTGCATTAACCAGGTTCCACTAGAGTGCGCCGCTGTTCATTCTGAAACAGAGCTTCACCGATATGTGCAAGAGAAGTGATAACAGAGCAGAGGCATGCTGGAGCAGAACCATCAATCAATCCAGAGTCCAATCCATAAACAATCATTTACACCATTTATTGGTGACAAGGACGCAGAAAGGACTTTATATTCACAAAGACAACTGCATAAACAGTCCATAAACACCATAATTTATTACCTAAATAGCACCCATTTAGGCATGCTGCATGGGAATTCAGCATCGACTTCTCTGCGGTGATTAGAAAGCGAGGATTTTATGAAAGGAAAGTGAAACCCATTACACAAAATGTTCTTAATATAATAGAAAAAGACATAATAAGCTTGGTAGATGGAGACAGCTTTTATGTTTTAATGAACTACAGAGAGTCAAGTTTTCACATTTCAACGAGAGGAACCAGAAGTCTCCATTCACAAAGTCTCTTTGAATCCTGGATCACACTGAAAACAGGGAGCTATATCAAAGTTAACATTAACTTCATTGAAATAAAGTACAAAATAGTCTAACAGGATATCAGAGCAATATATCCTGTCTTTTAATAATATATTTACCTTTCTTTAAATTGGAAATCCTGAGTGTATCACATGTTTAATTCATCCTTCTTTGTTCAGTGATCTAATAGGTTCTTGTTTTTTTTTTATCTTATTAATAGGTTTACTAACGCTTAAGCAAAAAGTGTGTTTATTTAGTCAATGTTTAACACAGCAGGTGTAATAAATAGTTAAAATAAAATCATATAATGAAAAATACATTTAAGCTTAATTGTCAATTAATGTAAATATCAACACTTATGACTGCTGACAGTAAATATATTTTTTTTATCAATTTGGAACAGAATAGTATATCTTAATAGTTCCTGCTCTCAGTTTTTTAAACATTTTTTTTTGTGAAAACATCTATTTATTGTCTCTTTAATTCATTGAATTCTATTTAAACTAACAAGACAAAATGTAGTTTAAGTTTTTTGTTGCTTTTTTTAAACAAAACCTGAAATATTTTCCCTTCATCGTCATTTAAAATGTATTCTAACTCTTAAAGAATGGGGTTCTCCTTGCTGTTTGGGTGCTTTTCTTCGTGTTTTATAAATATGTTTTGATCAGGCAATCTGAATAACCAGCTTCTATATTACAAGCCTTTATCAGCTTAGCCTTATTGCCGAGGGGCTCAGAGACTGTCAGCTCACTGCTACGTCAGCAGTTTCCCCCCATAATTGTGTGCCCCAAAACTAGGGATGTCAAAAGCCTCTGAAAACTATCAATACAAAAATACAGTTTAGATCAAACACAAATCCAATATTGATACTAAAAAGTTAATATCTGTAGTGCTGATTTAAGTTTTCAAGGTTATCTATTTTACACATTTACTTAACTAGCATCTGTAACATTGAGAAATAATGTTCCATGTGAGATTTAAAAAGGTTGAACATTTTTTATGCCTTTAGTTATGTCATTTTTTTAGAAAATGGTATCGAGAATTGAATATTTTTCTGGATATCGATATTTTCTTTAAAATTTCTAGGCACAACGCAATATTTATGGAACAAAAACTCCTCTTTTTACTCAAAAAGCAAACACCTATCCTCTGGTAAACAGCTCCAAAAAGCCAACTGATGCTTTCCCTTCACTAGAAAAAATCGACATCTAGATAACTCATTTTTTCTTAAAATAAGTGCATTTGTTCTTGGACTAAAGGGGTAAAAGAGACATTTTGCCAATGGAATGTGATAATTTAGACTTATAATAAGAAAACAAAATTGCTTTGTCTTATTTCAAGTGCATAATATCCAATTATCTTATTTTAAGCATAAAAATACTCATTCCATTGGCAACCTACCTCATTTACCTACTCAAATCAAGGGTAAAAACACTTAATTTAAGAAATTTGTACTTATTTCTAGATTGTTTTTCCAGTGTTTAAATGCCCCATTCATTCTTCCAGCGCTAATACTGACACAGCTCAATTTCTCACCCACTATCCCCTGCTGCTTCTATCGTGCCCATGACAGAACCCATCCCGGAATACTCTGGATCTGATCAGAGCAGGTTTATAGTTCACCGTTTCACTTCTACAATCATCCCAGGAAAAAAATAGCAGTAAACATTAAGCTCTTGTATATTTTCCGACACTGGATTTCCCAGCATGCCGCCTGCCTCTCCAAGCAGCTTCAACATGACATCAGAAACAGAGCAGGACGTCAGCTGAGCAGCCGGAGTTACATAAGAGGACGCTCCACTGATCTAAGCGTTCAACGCTGACACCCAGTTATAGGATGGAGGACGATAGAAAAGGAGAAAAACGGCAAATGAGGCCAGACTATAAGGCAGACGGAAAGGTCACAGAGAGAGAGAGAGCAACTCTGGGGTGCTGCACACTAGGAGGGAGCAAAGAGGGTCAGCCTTATCTCACACAAGAAGCCAGGAAAAGAGGAGGAGAGAGAGGCCAGGTCACATAAGGCTCCATCCATCCTAGATTCCCCTCCTGCTACATATTACAACAAAATATCAGGAACCAAGCGAGCCTTTTGAAAGTGTTTCCCCCTGTGTGAATGGAAATGTTTTTGCCCTAAAAACAAAAACATGACTAATATATAGAATTTCATTTACGACAATGAAAAGATTAGATCAGATTCTTTTCTCTGAAGACTCTCCCGTTCTGGAGTTTGAGAAATACTGACAGAGCGAAAAATAAAGAAGTGCTAAAAAAAAAAATTATAATAATAATAGTCAAGTTTCTCTTGGCAACATTTAAACCATAAATTCATTTTAAGAAAAACCACACAAGAGCATGTGGTCATCGAGCAGAAAAGTGCACATTTATCCTAACCGACGTCTATTATTCATAAAGTTTAATGCAGCAAAGCGGTAGCAGACTTTGAAATACAGACCTCCGCTACAGTATTTATGATCATTTTACTTTTTCACATTTAGTCACATCACAACAGCAAATTTAAATGTATTCTATCAAGGTTTTGTTTAAAAAAACAACACAATAATAATGGGTAAGTAGACTGAAAATAATAAAGGATTAAACATATTTTAACAAATAAAATGTGTTTATTCTGATACCCCTCAATAAAATCCACTGCAAACAGCTGTTGGACACATCTAATATGCAATGATTAACTGTTGCACAATCAAACTACTAATTTTCTGATTCTCTGATTAATTAAGAATAAAACATTTAATTTTCCTTTATGTAAGTTTTTACATAAAATCCCAGAGAAAGTAAAAAGTTAAGGGCTGAAACATGAAAGTTTCATAGTTTTTTTTTTTTTTTCCAGTCTAGGGATTCAATAAAAAAATGGCAGACTGAGCATCACATGGATCATTATGCAACATCCATGCTTCCAGGGATGCGGAATGCACATTTTGGTGAAGCTGTGACAAATTGCATTTAACTTTTAGTTTGCACTTGTGAGAAAACTTGTCCCAAAGCTGCATCAACTGCAACAACTAAAACATTGTTCAAACAAAAAAAAGCGGTTCTGCTCCATATGAAGGAGCTAAACTTTGAACAAATGTGATCAAACTGTTTTGTTGCTGTCCATCAGCTTATGATAAAAGGGTCCAAATGCTTTCACGTGTGTGCACGTGTGCATGCATGGGTGGACCGCGCGCGCCCCGCAGCGCAGCAGGCGGTTCTGTTCCAGTTCGGGCCCGGAGTGCTTTTACGCGTCAAAGCGCCAAACGGAGCGGCGGCCAGAGAGTTAAATAAGAGCAGAAGGAGCGTCCGATACGGCGCGGCGGTGCGTGGGTCGGCCCCGGGAGCTGATCTGTCAAACCAGCCGGGGCTACAGGAGCTACCTCCGCCGCAGCAGACCACGCTGCAGCGGAAGGATTGGCACCAAAAGGACGCTACTCACCATCCTACGGCTTCCCCAGCGCGGCGCGGACCCCACGTTGTCCTGGGAATTGGGTCATGAGGCGGAAACGAAGCGGGAGAAAAAGTCAGCCGGGTTCCTCCTGGTTGAAAGTGTGTAGCGGCAGGGCTGGAAGGCTCCCCTCCTCCTCCTCCTCCTCCTGCTGCTCCTCCTCGCTCTCCGGAGCTACAGTCCTCCTGGCCGCTGCTGCTCAGCCTTGTACCCGATTAAAAACAGACTCCCTGCTAACCTTCCGACGAAGCTTCCGACTTTGATTCCTGTTCTGTTGTCCTACAGAAGCGCTTGGATGAGCCACACCGACCGAGAGTGCCTGAATGTGTGGGGTGGAAAGAACCAAAAAAGAAACAGTACGTGGTCGCTCCTCCCTCCGCTGCACTGTGTACTGTACAGTAAAGCAGACTGGGGGCGCACTTATTAAAACTATCTACTGCTCTCTACAGGACCTACGCTGCAAAACACGCGCTGAACGCAAAGACACATCCGGGACGCACACAGGTGACAGTCAGAGGGAGCATCCTCTGCCTCGCCTCTGCGCTCCTTATTTATTGACTCCATCATGACACCAGCTCTATCCTTCCCCTCCCCTCTCCTCCTGCTCCAAACAGGCTATTGGTCCTTTTGGAGCTGGCAGATTAAAACCAAAGACAATGAGTAAAGGTCACTGACTCAGAACCATTTAGTAAATCCATGCATCAAATAATAAACTAAGAAGTTTAAGAACTTTGTTTTTGGTAAAAGACACAAACATAGGTTGAAAATCACAAATTCCCACCTTCAATAATAACAATTATAAAATAACTGAACACAGTAGAGCTTTTATTTATTCTCTGGATTTTACCTGCCTTATAACATTATAGTTAATAACAGGTTATTAATCCAGAAAGCTCATGTTTTATTTTATTTTTTGTTTATCTCAGGTCATTTAAAAAATATAATAATTTAATTATTAAAAGAATAAAGTTAGGAAAAAAGAGAAATCCCTAAATATTTAGGGAAACTGGGTGATATGCACAGGGGCAGGTTTAGGAAATTTGGGGCCCTGGGCAAAGACAGACATAAAATCCCATATAGATCCAAATAGACCGATTATACAGATACAGAAATTTTTATAGAATAGATATACATTCTACATTTTGCCCCTCTCTTCTTGTCCCTTTTCTTGTTGTTTACTCTCGATGTTTTGCACTCAAAGAATGAAAGATATTTTCCGGTCATTGAGCCCATTCTAACTTAGCTGATTGCTCGCTTCTGTGTTTCCAAAAAAGCGACGGCAAAAGTTGATAACAGTACTTCTTTTCAATAGACAAGCCATAATCTGCTAATCTGTTCCCCATTTTTCATTTGGATGAAATAATAGATGCACGAAGCATGACAGCAGACAAGATAGAGGAGAGCAGGAGGCGGGGTTACCAAGCTACTTGCAGAGTTCGCTGCTTTTATATGTTGTCAAAGTCTCCAGTAACAGAAAAAAGTCACTAGATTTGGCATTTTTCGTCATGTTTATTGTTCTCAGGATGTGTTTCCTAACGTAACACACATTTTGATTTGTCATCTAAAAAATAAATAGAATTATTGAAACTTAAAAACCACAGAAACTGGGTGAAATGTACAAATATTTATATTTTCTTACATTTTAAGAATATGCTAAAACGCAGTTACTATGAGATGTTTAGTGATTTAAATCATACCTCTTTATGTAACTGGCTTCCTGAAGAAGTCAAATTTAATTGTGTATATTGTTCAAGAATAATTTTTGATTGTTTTTTATTGTCATCATGATAATATTACCTAATATTGTATCGCCCAGCCCTACTTAGGAGAGATTTTGATACCAACGCACCATTTGATTGGACACAACTCACCATAAGACAGTGCTTTTTTTTTCTTTTTTTTTACTTTTGATGTTCCTGTTGTCCTGTTTATTTTCCAAAGTAAACATCTAAACACACTTTCACTTATTATCTCTGAAGTGTTTTTAGTGACTAACAATATAAAACTAAGATAAAAACATATATATATTTTAAGACAAAACGTTTTACTATTTCTTAGGTATAGTGAAAGATTTCTCTATGAGTCTTAACTGTCTAACAAAATATCTGAAACCTGTTACTCTAAATAAGTAATAATACTACCTGAAGAAGTATCAGTTATCACATAAGTCTAATTTAGGAAATAACAAATGCCTAGGTTTACCCCACCTTTACTGGAAATAAATTGTTTCTTTCAAGTTAAAAAATATGTATCTTTTAGATCAGGGGTCTTCAACGTTTTCCAGGTCAAGGACCCCCAAACTGATAGCGAGATGGAGTGGGGACCCCGTAATTATATTTATTGTATAAAATTGTGTTATATCAAACTGGTCCTATAGTCACTCTATTACAGATGGAGTAATGTAATGAAATTAATTTTGCCCTGGGATTATTAAAGTATTTCTAATTCTGATTCCTGGTTAATGGGACAGGTGTTGTGAATGAAACGGTGTCCAGCTTGAAAGAGCTCCTGTGTGTAACTGAATGTGTGCATTGATGACTGAAAGACATCTTCTGCTCCATTTATCTGTTGACTACAGTGTGTTGAATTCATGTCAATGTGTAATTAAACAACATTTCAATTAATGGAAAAAATTGCAGGGGGGAATACAAAAAAAAGCAAAAGTCCAATCAACCAAAGCTTTTGCGACCCCCATGCAGTACCTCTGTGGACCCCCTAGGGGTCGCGGACCCCCTGTTGAAGACCTCCGTTTTAGATTGTATCCCTGCTATTTCTTATTGCTATTAAAAAACAATTGAATCAGCACCTAATTGACAATTGTGCAAAGGTAGTTTGGTCAAAAACTTTTAAGCTTAAGAAGGGAAAACCTAAATTATTAGTTTTACGAAAGGGACAAAGAAAATTAATTTTAATTGTTTTTACTTTCAATGATATTGATCAAACACTAATTCTCATCTATCTTAGAATCTCTAGGGCAAAGTGATACTCTGATCTCCCTGCAGAAACCAATGTTTCTGTAGGGAGATCAGGTAGCTTGAGATAGTTGTCACCGACGTGCACATCTGTTCTGTTGAATGGATGGACGAATTCATGAATAAGTGCGAAGACAGACAGAAGGATAACAGCCCATCTCTGTTAATGCATTCCCAACACAGCTCATTGGAAATATGGAGGAGCATCTGGGATGTTTGGGGCTTTAGTTCAGGTTTATCATTCAAGCCAGAACCCCTAACCCATGCCACAAGGGAACACTTTTCTAAAAAAAAAAAAAGATGTTTGTTCATTTTATATCCAAAAATAGAAGTTTCTCACCTTAAAGAGTAGGAATCACAGAATATCTTTTTAATTTATACAAAAATAAACCATACAAGCACACTGTCTTGTTTCTATTCTAATGAACAATAAAGTTTTATTGCTTCAAATGTATACCCCTTTCAATAAAAAAACTTCATAACCAAAGGCTTTAAACTCTGCACTTTACTTAACAATCTGTTTTTACGGTAAATGGTCTCTATATGCAGCCTTGGTGTTTGTTTTTGTGAATTTACAGCTTGATTCTCAACCTTTCAATACAAAATGTTTTTCAGCCACCTTATAAAATAAATACGAATGCATTTTGTCTCAATTAGTCCAGATTAAAAGTGGATTAAAACACAATCTGTTTGGGTTAGAGAGCAGATTAACTCTGGCAGGGTGCTTCATGGCTTATTTCGCCATGAAGCACCCTGTTTCCATTAGTATTCTATACACCTATTTTTATTGCTGCGATAGAGTTTGGTTGCATGAACAAATGTAGAAAAATATTATAATTTGCTGATGAATAAAGACAGTAAATTGTGTGATTACTGTATGCTCACTGACTTGCAGAAGTCCAATTTTATCTTTTTGTATGTTTGGGATTTTTTTTTTTTTTTATTCAATAAAAAAATACTTTATTAATCCCAATAGAAAATTAAATGTTGCAGCAACTCATGGGCAGCTTATGTCCATAGCTGTATATTTGTTATTTTATTCTTCAGGTGCAGTTTTATATTGTTAAAACACTTTACAGGACAGTATTTTATTGCATCTTTTAACTCTTCGCTAGTATGTTAGTCTTATGCAATTTCTCCATTGTGGGACAATAAAGGGATTTTCTATTTCTATTTAATGTAGAATAAATGTAGTTTTTTATACAGTAGCAGCATTAGATAGTGTATAATTCTGAATTGAATAGATAGCATGTGTGCATACTGTTTTCGTTACTGTACTCAAGTAGATTTTTCTGATATTTTTACTTTACTTTACTACTTATTTTTCTGGCGACTTTTTACTTCTACTCCTTACATTTTTACACAAATATCTGTACTTTCTACTCCTTACATTTTAAAAAATTGGCTCGTTACTTTAGTTTTGAATCATTTCAATGGAGTTACCGTTATTATTTTTCACGTCATCAATACCAAATTCAATCTAATTGGATGGGAATCTACGTTGCATTTGACGCACCACTACAAGATGAATCGACAGATTCGGCGGTTGGCGGCAAATCATTGCAGCTTGGTGGCGGTGGCGTTAGCATAGTAGCATGGACGACGAGATGATTGAAAATGAACACAACGGAGATCTAGTCCTATTGGCAGACATCCATTTAAAATGTAGGCAACGGCATGAAAAAAGTGGTTTCTACTTTTACTTTTATACTTTAAGTAAATTTACAAGCCTGTACTTTGTTACTTTTACTTGAGCAAAGAAGTTTAATCAGTACTTTCACTTTTACCAGAGTATTTTTTAACACAAGTATCTGTACTTTTACTCAAGTACGGAAAGTGAGTACTTTTGCTATCTCAGCAAATAAGTGAAAAGTATAGCATACATCTACAATGTGCCTCGCTAATGTTGATACCTTAATAAAATCCTTCTGCGATGTTTTGAAAAGTTTGTAGTGTCAACTATTGGGTGATTTAATCAGTATAAATCCGGCTGTTTATTGAGGGCCTCAAAGGATTGTTATAAAAAAAAAAAAAATGCATCATGAATACCAAGAAAACCAGCAGAGAGGAAGTTGTGGAGAAGCTAAAAGTAGAGTTAAGTTAAAAATAAAATTTTGCAGGTGTAGAAAATTTATGTGGACTCTGTCCAGTCCAACATCTCAAAATGTAAAGACTATGGTACAGCAATGTTTCCGGGACATGGCTGTTAACGGTCGAGGGGGGGCAAGATAATCACAGCCCTATGATAACTTTAGAGAAGTTGCAAAAAAATTCCACAATTCAGGTGCAGAATCTTTCCACAGGGAAATTACTGGTTGTGCACAACCGAAATCTGGCCTTTGTGAGTTACTGACACACACACAAAAAAGTTTTTTTTATTACAGATGGTACAAAATCGTGTCTTAAGCGTACTACAAGCCATGTATTTCATACTGCAAACGTGGAATAAAATTGTGGACTGCCTGCACACAAACAGCCCTCCAGGGACTTCAGGATGACACAGAGTGAGCAT